GGGGGGGGTCATTTGATTGAGACAAAAAGGCAAAAGGCTAAACCTGGTCTTTGACACGCTCCTCATCGTACTCTTGCTTGTGTTTCTTGAACTCGGCAATTGAGTTCTCGACCTCCTTAACCAGTTCATCCGTTGAGAACTGCACTTCAATGTGTTTTGTTAGTTCTTTTATCGTATTAATCGTTGCCTGTAAAAAATCCGAACTATAACTAGATAAAGGAAAGCATTAGGGGTGACTATTTCAAAACTTGAACCAATAGGACCGGATAATATACAATTATACCAAAATTGAATATGATTTAAAAAAAAAATCGAATGATACGACTTTTCTAAAATGGGAAAGACTAAACAATTGATTAAAAAATAGGAAAATAAAAAAAAACCAAATGTCCGTAGCATACCTCCAAATTTTCACGCTTGAAGATGTCTCCGACAGCCAAATTCTGCTTAATAACGTTGGTAATACTCTCTCTTTGAGTTTGTAGAAACTCATTCACTGCTTTGGGGCTAGAAAGCGAAGCCAATTGCTCTTCACTTAGCTTCATTTTTGCCTGCAAGACAAAATGTATGAAAAGGGAAAACATGCAAGCAAGAGAGAGAGAGGGAGAGATCACATTGCTCTAATTCAACGTTTCCTTGTGCTTTTACCTGTATCTCTAGAAGCCTGGCTCCATAGAACTGCCTACCTTGCTCTTCGAATAAAGACTGAGGAATCTCCACTTCCACCATCTGTAGGAACAAAACGTAAAATAGAATAGTGGTTTCGGATCAATGAATGCGAAACAAGGACAAAGATTACGAGTGGGGGAACAAACAAAAACTTTGCCCGCACAGAGAAAAAATCTCGATCTAGATGGGTTTTTTTTTTTTTGTCATTTTCAGAACACAGGAGTGACCTTCCGAAGCTGGTCCAGGATGGCATTATCGGCTGCCTGTTCCTTCGCGTTTTGCTCCATCTCTTGCAACTGTTGCAGCATAGCTTCCTCTACCTGTTTATGCATGTTACATACATTATGACGGGAGAAAATTATTTCCAAGAAGATACATTTTCTGAATTACGAAATTGTATTTCCCCGCCCGGTACCTCCTTCAAGGTGGTGCATCCAGGGAGTAACTTTTCAGCAAGCGAGTCATCCAATGGTGGTAAATCTCTGTAGAACAGCTCTTTACACTCAACCTGAAGGTAAAAAGATAAGAAAAAAGACAGCAAGGAAGACAAGTTACCATGATGGAGATATGATTTGGTTGTCCTTGTCTGTAGTGTGTTCATTGTTTTTTGGTTATTTTTTTGTTCTTCCATATTGGTCTTAATCCTAGGCAACACTAGTGTAGGCAAAAACTCACAGTGAACTGAGCATGTAGGCCACGAAGATTTTCCTGCTTCCATGTATCTGGAAACACGAGAGGAAATGACTTCTTTTCACCCGGTCGAATTCCTATGATTGAATCAAGGAATCCAGGAAGTACTTTATCCCCGTCTTCTGTGTCAAAATGGAAACCTGCACAGAACATCATATTAGAACATCACTCGCAAACGAGAACGAGAAAGAGACAATGTCAAACACAGTAGAATATTTCCAAACCTTTGCTCTCAGCATCTGGAATGTTTTGACCATCCGATCCGTCCTGACCTATTGTCGTAGCAGATATATCGATGACTACGAGATCCCCCACCTGCACGATTTTTTGGTTTAATATGGCAATTCATGATACCGGAAACGGGTTCTTCCCCTTATTCCCATAACCGTTAAAGAGTTATGGTCATTATTTTAGTTCTATCAATGATTCCTCTTAGATCTCATGATTGGCCCCTAAACCAAAATCCAGAACAAGGAGTATTAGATTAATGGCTGGTTTAGCTTGGTTTAGTTTGGTTATCTTGGTTTGAAGTGCTAAATTTTCTCTTCTATGGATTCATGAAGGACAAGTATTTATACACATCAAACCAAGCTAGACCGGCCTAAACCGGGTCATGTTCTTTAATCAGGAGCTCGGTTACCTGCAGCCCTCGATCAGTTATGATCTTCAGTGCACCAAGGGATTTGTGCCGCTGTCTTATTTCCTTCTCGCAAGCTTGTTTTGCATCTATATCACTGTCTATTTCAACGACGACTTTCAAATTTTTGTATCCATCTTCGGGGTTCCATCTTATTTCGGGTGCAACATCAACAACGACGTCATATCTGAGGCACAAACAAAACCGGGTTAGTCAGTAATGGATTCTTTGAGTTCAGACTGCCATGTAGAGAATAACAAACCTAAGAATGTTGGAAGAGGTAAATATCTTCTCCATTTCTGCAAAATTTGTTGCTATCCTTATCGAGTCCTTCAAAGCTCTTCCAGTCACCTAAAGATCGATGGCTCGTACCAAGATGTTAAAAGACAAGAAATTTACACCCAAAAAGCTACCGAAAGCTATAGATACACACAACAGTTGCTTTTAAGCTGAATCTAGCTCGTAACTCATTCCATGAATGTGTGTAGAATCTTCTGATGAGAACATATAATTGTGGAACACATTCTTGTTACTGATACCAACAATCAAACATACCGAAGACACGGCATGAGGGAGCGTTCGTTTCAGTATAGATTCGACTACTGCGCTCTGTACGTGCTGCTTCCCAATGTAACCAACAAGAATACTCTCCGGAACTTTCCCGGGACGAAATCCAGGTACCTAGAAAACCAAGCAATTGCCATGAACTAGGGCTTTTCCATCAAACACAATAGGAACATTTCCAGCAAAGATTCTGTTTTTTGTTGCAACACGAATCCATGGACATGTCTTGTAAGAGAAAAACTACCTTTGATCTCTTCATGAATTCCTTTATCACTTGCTTGTAGCAATCTTCGCAGACAACTGGTGGAACTTCTACACTCAGTCTCACCTAAATTGAGCAACTTCCAATCATCAAAACTCGAGTTTATTACAACGTCAAACAACACACCAGAGATCAAGCCCGAACACACAGGATTCAACATTTCCGACAGATTGACTGAATTAGAAACCTCTTACACGTGAATTCGGTTCCACGGTCTCGGTAACCTGGAGATCAGCGGGAAGCCGATCTTCTTCGACGCCGGCATCGACGGCGGAGGAAGCCGCGAACCGCCGGAAACTGCTTCCGTGACACGAAGATTCTCCGAAAAACCTAATTCGGTTCGAGACACAAGACAGTTCGAGCGGTCTGATGGACGACAATTTCCCGCCGAACCGCGAGACAGAGCCATTGCAAGAAAGGAACAGAGGATAGGAGCAGAAGAGGGGAGAGCGGTTACGTTGAAGACAAGAAGAAGAAAACAGATTGAGCTTTGTCGCGGCAGAGTTCATCACGCAGAGCTCCATTGTCGCTCTTCTTCTTGCTCTGAGCTTGAAGACCCGAAGAAAGCTTTGAAAGCGCTTCTTGTAGATAAAGCTCTGTAATTTGTTGTTTGCATATATCCGGAAACGGTGCGTTTTCGAGCTAATAAATAAATATTTTCAATGAAAAACCACCGAAAAGAAAACCCGAAAAATATAAAAGGAAAATCTAAAATATCATCTCAGGGAAAAACATATTGAAATTACCATCAGATTAATTTGTTTACTTAATCCTTAATTTCAGTACTGAGCTTTAATAAATATGATATCTTTTTTATTTTTTAAAATATATCTTCTAAAATTTGAGATAAATATTTTCATAAAATATCTGTGAATTATATGAAAAATTCTTACCTTTTTTTTTTTTTGAGTCTCCTTTTTATGTAATAAATGAGGTTTGATGAACATAACAGATGGTCCAGTACCTCTGCGTTAAACGACCACTTGGGAAGAATCTGAGAGAGAGAGAGAGAGAGAGAGAGAGAGAGATGGAAGGGGTAGGGTCGAGGCTGAGCCGTACATCGTCGAGGTACAGTGGTCCGACGGCGACGGCGGTTTTCACCGGCCGAGTCAGGAAGTGGAAGAAGAAGTGGGTCCACGTGTCCACTTCATCCACTGCCGGCTCTCGCGCCTCCAAATCCAACGGTCGCGGTAACACCGGCAACCTCTTCCTCTGCAGGTGGACCCCACTTTCTCCGGCCTCCTCCGCCGCCGGCGAGACAGAGGAACCGCCGCGACGGAGGTTCAGATACGCTCCTGTAAGTTCGCTGTCTGCTTGAAAGCTCCGGGTTTTTTTTTTGTGGACACTAGGGTTTTGGTCGGAGGATCAATTCGATGACTCCTCTGGTTTCTTTTTTGGGCAGATTGCGATGCTTGAACAGAGAGAAAAAGGGGCGTCGAGTAAGCAAGAAGCCGAAGCTGAGGAGGAGGAGGAGGAGACTGAAGAATTCGAGACTGAAACACCGTCGCCGAAGAACGTCGAACTGAACATGAACTTGATGACGATGGACACGGACCAAACTTCAGAGGTGAGAATGTCAATGGGGTGGAACCTAAAACTCAGGTTTCAGTCAAAGTTTTGTCCTTTTTCTCACATATGTACATGTGGTTGGCTCCTCTGCAGGAGCCGAAGACTGGTCGCTTGGATCTTGGAGTGTGTCTGAAGGATCTAAACGACGAAGACAGTCACGTTGACTGAAGTAAAAAAACACGAGTTTCGGATTCTGGGCAACAGTAAAAATCTCTCCTTTGGTACTAATAATGTCGAATAGTGTAGTTACGATCGTCCCTGAATGCAACTTTTAGATAGGCTTTAACGGACTTGAACGGTCCTTTATGTATGTATGTATGTAAGATGTAGTAAGACATAAGCTGGAAGGATCGCAGTTTCTGCAGATTCGTACCTGTGGAAGAGAATAAATAAGAACCCTAATTCCACCAAAGCTAAATTAGCAACACCCATAAGCCGATTAGAGATTTAGGAAGAACAATGCCTACCCAAGCAAAAGATGATTATGGAATCGTGTTCAGGAAATGAATACTCTAAAAAGCAGAAAGGCTAAGACACAAGAAAGATGTGCAAGTTTACTCTGAAACGCAGTTTAACAGAGAAGGGGATCTGTAGGAAAATTTTGGAAACCAGTCACCATTGGTGACTTTTTCAAGCTTCAGATCCTTTCTCGCCGCCTTCTTGCCCCTCCACTGCCTGAGAAACACCAACCTCTGCTGGCCTTATAACTCGATCATACAACATGTACCCAGGCTGCATTCATCAAAAGAAAACCGATCAACAAAAGGGATCATAAAACTATATCAAGGAGGGAACTCTCCATCTATGCGTGATCTGCAAACTACTGTACATGCCCAGGGTTCACCTAGTGCAAGAAAGAGAGAGAATCAAATCAAATAAAACCAAGCAAAGCTCTGTATCTTACCTTCAAGACATGGGCAACTGTTCCTTCTGGCTTAGAGGCATCTGGTACTTGGAACAGAGCATTATGTCTGTTTGGATCAAATGGCTCGTTCATAGGATCGTATTTCTCCAACCCAAATTTCTTGAACACCTGCAGTAGTACACAGATGAATCGTCTTTTTCAGAAACCAGCCTCGTGTATCGTTCTAGTCTCGAGAAGAAGGATGAATAATTAACCCGAGAGTGAGATATTAGCATCATTCAGACATAGTTTTACCTCGGCTAACTGTTTCTCAGTCATCTCCACCCCTTCCAGTAGAGTCTTCAACAGTGGAGCAGCCCCAGCTGAATCTTTTGACGTGTCAATCTTTGAGAAACTCTCCTTGACAACCGAAGAAGCTCTGCCAAGATTATCCGCCACGTCCAAAAGGCTCTTTGCAAAATTCTGCAGCAACATTTTGGGACAAAAAGTATCAGTACGTGTCTTGTGAATAAAACACGATCATTCAAGAAAGAGGGCATATGGATAACTAACCTGTATAGCATACTTTTTGGAGTTCTCGGCTTCTCGTCTTGTCCTGTCCATGACATTCTCCATCTCTGCGTAAGTACGAAGAACTTTGTCTTTCATTTGTTCAAGCTCTTGGTGCTTGGATGCTAGAAGCTCTTCCTTCTCAGCCACAAGTTTCACCAAATCATCCCTCGACAAATCATCGATGTCGGCCTCAGAATCTGAATCGGAAAAATACAGTTTGTTTAGTACCTCTCCGGCTTCTTTGAGCAGAAATAGACAAAGAATCACCATATTCTGAATCAAGACCTGATTCTTTTTTATCGGCTGTATCTTTCCCTGCCTCGGAATCTTTATCGCCAGCAGCTTCATTGGCACTCGAGGCTTCAGTGTTATTCTCTTTTTCATTGAGTTCAGGTGATGCAGAGGAAGAAAAATCAAATCTTTGAAGCGCAAAGGAATCTACTGTTAGGCGGTTGAAAAGGGAATCCTGAGCAAGAACAAGCTAAACAGCGTGTAAGCCAGTTAATTCAATGTCCAAAGCATCCTTGTCTAAAAATGCAAACCCACATGAGGTTTTCATTGGTCAAAAACATGAATCTGCTCGGAAATTGAAAACAGCTACTTCAAGATAGTGTCGTTAAAGGAAAAACAGCATAATATACTAAATCGTCACATGAATCTCTATGATCTTTAGAACCGAGTACAGAGCACACCATGTATTCTAGAAATCAGCAGAATTGTAAGACAAACACAACCAATTTTGGTCCTAACAAGACAAAGATAAAAACATATGTCGCACATTCAATTATGTCATCGCAGCTAAGTATTGAATAACAGTTATTCATTAATCAATGAGATGAACAAAGGATTAAGAGTAAAAACCCTAATAACCCAAGGCAACCCTAAAGCAGATTACACACCAATGTATGTATACCCACATCCGGAAAATGCAAAATAATATCATAAGATCACTGTTAACTTATTACAACAACAAAAAAGTCATATTTCATACAGAAATGATAAATTTGGGACCAAAATCAAACAAACCTTTAAACCCTAGCAAAACCCTATGAAGCAATTAAGCACGAATTATCATCAAATCCTCTGACAAATGAAGAACCTTACATTCGCGGGGGATTCTTGAACGAAGGAATGAAATTGGCCGGAGAAGATCGGAACCCGATTCCTCGCCGGTGAAGCGACGGCGGCGACCGACGAGCGTGAGCCTGCGCTTCGAGAAATTCGAGACAAAACCCTCGAAACCAACATCACGAAGATGTGTAATAAACAAACCAGAAATCAGGGGGGGAAAAGAAAACAAAAGAATCGAAACTTTATTCGGAGAGAAAATGGAGAGAATTATTGTGTTTATGTCGGAAGGATCGGGATAACAGACGTGCCTTTGGGCAAGTGGGAAAGCTTTCTTTGGGGTTAAATGGGTGATGACAAATTGACCAAAATGCCCTTATACGACGCGAGGGTATTATTGTCAATGTGTGATAATATCTTTGAAGCCAAAGTCGCACGAGGATAAATTGGGCAATTGCAAAAATAACCTTAAATGATACATTGGACTTTATTATATACCCTTCATAAAAAAAAGAAAAAAGACAACATCAAATATAACCTTATAAATATAGTTTCCCTATAATAATCTTTATTAATTTATATAATATAATAAAATAAAATAAAATTCTTTTATATTTCTCTCTTCTCTCTCCACCTCTCTCTCCCGCTTTCTTCTCTCTCCACCTCTCTCTCTCTCCTGCTTTCTTCTTTCTCCACCTTTTGCTCCATTGTCTCTCTCCTTTCTTGCGCTCTCTCTCCTCTCCTCCTCTCTCTCTCTTTTATCTCTTCTCTCTCACGTTTTCTTCTCTCTCCACCTCTCGCTCCATTGTCTCTCTCCTTTCTTGCGCTCTATCTTTCCTCTCATCCTCTCTCTTCTGTCTCTTCTCTCTCGTCTCTCTCTCGCTTTCTTCTCTCTCCACCTCTCTCTTGCTAATAGATAATTTATCATTTTAAAATATGTTATTCATTTTGGACATTTATAATTTTTGTTGTTTTTGAATTTATATTTGAACTATATGATATGGATGAGTCAAACGGATCAAATCGAGTAAATTCTCCAAACTGGGCAAACTCGCAAAGCTCATCAAAATAGTCATACTCATCAATCTGGTCTTACTCTTCAAACTGATCATATTACTCATATTATATGTTGTTTTATACAAACATAATGAATATAGATGATAAAAAGAATGATAATTATTTATTACGAGTCTTGTCATAAGTGGATAGTGAAAACAATATCCTAGAAAATTTTGCATTCATGTAATGACATAATAAAGATACTGTATTAATACATTCCAAATTTATATTTTGTAATAAAATTTTAGGATTTAGTTGAAAGAACGTATATTATAAAATTAAAGTATTGTAGTTAGGGAGTTAGAATTATTTTCAACTTAAAATATTTGTTATATAGGGTGATTATTAATATACAGTTTATACGTGATAAAAACATGAATTTCGATAAGGTGCGACGGTTTGACTAGTTTGACGATGCTACGAGTTTGACGGTGAGACGGTTTGTGCAAAAAAATATCGATCTAAATAATGTTTTGAATATTCAATGTGGTGTATATGAGTTATTATAACATATTTAACATGTTTTTATTAATCGTAATTCATCTGAAAAAAATAATATCTTATACCCTAAGACAATATGTTACACACTCTATTAGAACTTTAGGGTTTCATATGAGAGAACATGCATTGTCAAGAAAACAAAAGATATTAAATTTAGAGACCTAGAATTAGTTTCAATCCAATATACTTGTTCATCGGGGCGATAATCAATATGTTTACAATTTACAATTGTTAAATTTACGAAATTCGATAAGGTGCGACGGTTTGACTAGTTTGACGGTGCGACGAGTCTGACGGTGAGACGGTTTGTGTAAAAAAAAATATCGATCTAAATAATGTTTTGAATATTCAATGTGGTGTATATGAGTTATTATAACATATTTAACATGTTTTTATTAATCGTAATTCATCTGAAAAAATAATATCTTCTACCATAAGACAATGTGTTACACAAACTCTACTAGAACTTTAGGGTTTCACATGAGAGAACATGCATTGTCAAGAAAACAAAAGATATTAAATTTAGAGACTTAGGATTAGTTTCAATCCACGATACTTATTCATCGGGGTGATAATCAATATGTTTACAATTTACAATTGTTAAATTTGCGAAATTCGATAAGGTGCGACGGTTTGACTAGTCTGACGGTGCGACGAGTCTGACGGTGAGATTATGTGGTTCTTCTGTTAAGACCTTTTTTAGAGATTGAATATGTTTTCACAATGAAGATGGAAATATGACGAAAGTGTGACTTTTTGTTGAATTATGTTCATTCTTCATCTATTAATGCATTTTTTATAACACCAAATCTTCTGGAATCGAACCAAACTTAACTTTAAAAAATTTCCGAAAATCGAAACTTTTTTAAGAAACTCTGATTTTTTTAACAAAAAACGAAACGGAACCGTAACAAAACTAGAACCCAACTGAATCGAATAATATACGGTACTAATATCGTACTAAAACCAGAACCCACCCTTAATGCATACTATACATATTGATATATATATATATATATATATATATATAAATACTTATTCGTAAATCATATTGGAAAATAATATAATCTATCCTAACCTAATGTGTTACAAAAATTGTACTAAAACTTTGGGATTTTTTTTTGGGAGAACATGCATTGTGAGAAACAAAAAGGTGTTAAAAACTGAGAGCTAGATTTAGATTCATCGTAAGATACTTGATGACTGAGATGATAATTGATAAGTTTATAGTTTGCAGTAGCCAAATTTGCGAAAACCGATAAGGTGCGACGAGTTTGACGGGTACTAACGGTGTGTTGAGTTTGACTGGTGTGACGGTTTGTGAAAATAAATTGTTGGTCTAAATTAAGTTCTGATGCTTCGGTGTGGTGTATAGGGGTCATTATAACATATTTAACGAGTTTTTGTTATCTGTAATTCATGCGGGGAAAAACTATTTCCTACCCTAAGCCAATGTGTTAGAAGACAAGTTTGATGTACTCACGAGTTTGACGGGTTTGACAAGGCATGAAGATTTTACCCGATAAAATATATATGATTAAAAGGATGTTTGGAGAGTACACATGATTCAAATACAACTAATTAAAAAGAGGATAATGGATTCATGAAGAAGAATCTTGATGTTCCTCTGGAGGCACCGTTACTTCTTGACGTTCCTCATGGATTCCCTTTCTTCCCTTTCGACCTTTGGTTTATCTCTTTGTTCGTTGCTTTTTGGAAGGTGGATCTGTCGATCCAAAGGCAATGTATGGACTTTTAACATCCTTTTTTCTTTTGCGCATCGGTCGTTTACTCTGTTGAACCGACTCCTTAGGAGTATCAGGAACCTCCTCATGCATTGAAAAAGCCACATTCTCTTCTAAAAAACGAGGTCTCAACTCGAGCTCGGTGTTTGTGTTATAGTAACTACCCGTTGAAATATCATCCTCTTTGTTGCGCTTTATCTCAGACCAATCTTTTGCTTCAACGGTGATTCATGTCTTCTTCAGAACCCTTTCAATTTTTTCAATTATTCTTCTTTCGATTTTTTCAGTTAACCGAATGGTTTCATATGGTTAACACTTCATTGTAATCTTGGGAGCCTAATGAATGTCTTTCAAATCATATACAAAAGGAACCTGGAAAAATAAAATTAACACTCATTATCAGTTTTGTTTGACCGGTGTGACCAGTTTGACCAGTTTTATCATATTAGTCAAACTCGTCAAACTGGTCACACCTTTCAAATGCAATCAGTGTGACTAGTATGGCCATTTTGTATGCGGCCAGTGTGATCAGTATGACAACATTACTTCATCACTAGTTTTACTAGTATGACGGTGTGACTACTTCACTAGTATGACCGGTGACAGGTATACCCAGTTTGATAAAACTAGTCAAACTCGTCACACCCTTGAAGTGTGACTAGTGTGACGAATATGACCACTATGGTAGAAACCAGTGTGACCAGTGTGACGGTGTGACGACTTCACTAGTATGACCATTGACGGGTGTACCTAGTTTAATATGACTAGTCAAACGTGTTACACCCTTCAAGTACGACCAGTGTGACGAGTATGACCATTACGATACTGATAGAGACAAAACTCTCATATGACTTGATTTCAAACCGAAAACCTAATTTTCCTTAACTGTAAAACTCGAATACTATAACTCATTCGACTAAGATCTTGTCTACCGTAAATATTTGTCCAAGTACACATATATCAAATTAAAAAAAAAAACTAACTTTTTCGGTGAGATATAATGAAAACTTTACTTGAAAATCTTCGCAAATAGAAGTCGAAAACGATGAAGACGAAGCCATTTTGAAGTGAAGAGAAAAAATCGCACAAGAAATCGCCAATAAAATTGGCTGGAGAATGTCCGTTAGAGAAAAATCGTGAAGAAGAGAGGAAGAAGAAACTGAACAGTTTTTTTTAACTTAATAATTTTTTATTTGACAACTACCCACTTTCTCTCCCTCTTTTGTCATCTTCATTCAGATTATTACACGTGTAATTTTTTAGAAGGGTGGGATTGTCTTTTTAACGTTTTTCAATTTTTTTTTGAAACCCTAACTGTTCAAGGGTATGTCTTGAAGTCCATGTTACGTTTTAAAGGTATATTTGTAATATCCCTGGATAGATTACTATCGAACCCTCTCGAACCTTCACAGAGTTCTTTCGGACAAGAACTCTGTTCGACTTCTGAACAAATACAAACCTGTACACATATATACGTACTTAAACCACGTACAAATACAGGTATAAAGACATTATTGTTTACTTGGAATTGTCGATGGACTTGTGCCCTGAATGAAATCCGAATGAGTCGCTTCATTCTTGCTGCCGATGGTCCGACTCTAGGCCGGTTAAGTAGTCGTGTCTGGTACAAACGGCAAACAATTAAACCAATAAGGACAAAGCTAAACCGATCGGTTTAACCGCGTGAAAGAAGAAGAAGAGAGTTGGTGAAGGTTCTTGAGCTTACTTGATTCTACGGGACAATCGGTACAATCCAGTTCCTGCCATGGCGACATTTACACAGAAGAGATTCCATTTTTTCTGCAAAATTTTCCTAGTTTACAAAATAACAATGCATCAATTTTTCATCCAAAAAAAAAACAATGCATCAATTATAAAGTTTTTCATTGTACATCAAAACATTTTTAAAGCAATATATATGTATATATAACAACGGTTTAAACATATATTGGTATCTGATAAGATTCTTGTATTTTTTTTTAACTCACGGCAGAACTATCAACTATATATAGAGTTCAGTTCTTGATCTGAACAAAAAGTCCAAGGATTCAGGAACACAAGAACAAACCAAAAAAGACATGCATGAGATCAGATAAAAGCAAGTACGGACTGGTTTTAGGACCAACAGGGTAGTTCCGCAGAGCCCGGAGTTTCTATCTCAGCCGTCATGAAATCTCTGTCTTCGTTCGCTTATTACAGTTAACATTCCGACAGAAACAAACTCAAACAAATTATCCGGAAAACGAGAGGATATACCCACAAAACTGAAGACCCATTTCGAGTTTAGCCAAGTACGTCGCATAATACTTTTGGGCCATGTCGCCCAATTACGTATGACCCGGTTTCATTCTAGGCCCAAAACGGATAAGGTGACTCTCTCTCTATATAAATATGTGTGTGTATATAAGTATGTTGTATTGTGTAGTGGATTCAGAACTGAACCCTTTGGGCAATTTTGTTGTAATTTTTAGGGTAAATAAATAGGGTTTGATAATAATCTCTCAAGAGATTCATATTTATATGTATTACGAATATGGTGGAGGAGTTATATATTCGTAAATGATATAGTATGAATTGCTAAAATATATACATGTGTTTGGTGAAGTATATACTTGTATTTAGTAGTGAAATTTAAGTTCAGAAATTCTGCACGGGCTGCAACACGGGTGTGTTAATTCCAACACGGGGCAGTGTTAGATTCAACACGGATTGTGTCAAATGTAACATGGGCGTGTTGATTGCAACACGACCGTGTTAGATTCAACACGGGTCGTGTCAATTCTCTGAGAAAATGTTGTTTTTTTGCTCAGACATTTGACACGGACCGTGTTAGGTGCAACACGGACCGTGTTATTGCACAGACATTTGACACGGATCGTGTCAGATTCGACACGAACCGTGTTAAATGTCTCGAACATGAACAAATGCGATTTTTCGCATAAAAACTAATAATTGATGCAACTTTTGATGATGTCTATGGTGGTTTATAACCAAAAACGTCAGAGAATGTTCAAAACATGAGATCTAATTCATTTTGAGAGATTTTGTGAGCACTTTCGGTAGTTTCTTGCAAAAACTCTCCCGAAAGCTTTCGTTCATCTTTTTCTTCACGTTTACTTGTCTGTGCGTTCTTGAACGAGCAATTGTAGAACGTATTTCTCTTCATTGTATCTCAGAATCATATTCCGATAGTCTTTGTTCGTAACAGACGGAATAACGGTTTTAGGAAAGTGTCTTCACGCCTTGGAGAGATATCCGGTCCCTCGGTTCGATTTCATTCTCGTTTTTCCGTTGTTTTTCCTCCAACTTTTCTAACAGAAGCCAGCTATGAAAGGAGGTTAAATATTCACACATGAAACATGAACAATCACAGCTTTATATGAACAAACCCCAACGTTACTTTTCAACCGAAACGTGCAACGTCATCAAACAGACTTATGATTAATATTATAACTAAGCTTTAGTCTTAGAATAAAAACAAAAGAGCCATCATCTATAGAACATCTCTATGTAATGTATAGAGTTGCAATGGACTAAATTTAATCATAGTATTAGTTACAATAACTAATCGTATAAAGTGCAATGGAGAATTTAAAAACGAGATTCGATATTTGTTAACGTTCCACGCAAAGATTAGAACTGTTGCTTCTGTCTCCCAAATTAAATAGCTTTAGCTATATGCTCACCACCACATTTGATATATAGGGGGCAATTGCTCCGTTACCAGTCGCGAACGGAACGATTACAGTTTTTAGCGGTTGCGGACGATTAAAAAACCGACCGATAGAACCACAACAAAACGTGAAATTTCTAATTACAACCTTATAGTCGTGTTTTGTGTTTTGGTAACTTTCAAGACCTTTGATAAAAAAAAAGACCAAAATACATTTTTTTTAAAATATATTTTTTAATAATAAAATTCATTTTTTACTTAAAAATAAATTAAATTGATAAAATTTATAATTTAATTATTTTATAAATTTGGTAAATAGTTTTTTTATCCAATGATAATAAAAATTAATTAATAACTATTTTTAAAAATATATTAAATTTATATCTTTTTTTTATAATTTATATCAAACCGCACCGTAATCATAGTCAACCATTTGTTTAATCGCAACCACCCGCAATTACTCACTGTAAACAACAAATTATCAATAAGTACTAACTCTTCACAATCACAAAAAAAATGTACTAAAAACGTGGACACTCGTAACTGCAACCATAGCGGTACAACCCATCAGATTGTAAGACTAGTATTATAATTTATATGAAAAGTAACATTGGGGTTTATATAATAAAATGTACACACTATCCTTATTTGTAAATTATAATACTAATTACTACCCTTATATTTGACTCAAGACCAGAAAGTTGTGGCCAATCTCTTATTAACAATAGTCTCAGATTGTAAACAAATATCTTGATTAGTTGGTACAAAGCAACATTAAGTCATTAACTACTTACTTGAAAACCTGTTTTTGGTACGTTTTTTTTTTTTTGGTGGTAAAGTAGCTTTCAAACCCTTTTAATGATTACATGTTTTGATTATACCATTCCACCAAACCTCCTTCAAACAAATTGAAAGCTCAAACCTTTGTTAGAGTTTCACACCAAAGGAAGAAACCTAAAATCAACAATCATGGACATGATGATGCAGAAGAGGGTTCTCATACTGCTCATCATATCTCATCATCTCCCGGTGAAAATACCGAAAACAGACGGCAAAGTTCCCGCAGTTATCGTGTTTGGAGACTCTTCCGTGGACTCGGGGAACAATAACCAGATATCCACGGTTCTAAAGAGCAATTTCCATCCTTATGGCCGGGATTTCATCGGTGGTCTGGCCACCGGAAGATTCTCAAACGGGCGGATCCCGTCCGATTTCATTTCCGAGGCTTTCGGGATAAAAAAGACGGTTCCCGCGTACCTGGACCCTGCATATGACATTGCAGACTTTGCTACTGGAGTCTGCTTTGCTTCAGCTGGAACTGGCTATGACAATGCAACTTCTGATGTGCTTGTAAGTCATATAAACATATATAACTATATAGTATGGTACTGTAACATTATTTAGATTGTATTCCATATGGCCTGATATGTAATTATGTAGTCCGTAATACCACTGTGGAGAGAATTGGAGTACTACACGGAGTATCAGAGCAGGTTAAGAAGCTATCTGGGAGAAGACAAAGCAGAGGAAGTAATTGAGGAAGCACTTTACCTGATAAGCTTAGGAACCAATGACTTCCTTGAGAACTATTACCCTCTTCCTCGGAGATCATCTCAGTATTCTGTCGATGAGTACCAGAACTACTTGGCGGGTATAGCTAGGGATTTTGTCACGGAGCTTTACAAACTCGGAGCTCGGAAGATTTCTCTAACCGGGCTCGTTCCAATGGGATGCTTGCCCTTGGAAAGAACCACTCGTATCTTATACGGAAGCCAATGTATCGAAGAATACAACAATGTCGCCAGAGATTTCAACACCAAGTTAGGGTTTATGGTCACCGAGCTGAACAAGGACCTCAACGGAATCAAGCTGGTGTTCTCAAATCCATACGGGATCGTCTCTGAAATCATAAACAATCCTGCATCATTTGGTTAGTTTCAAACTTCAAAGTCCTGTTCCATGTGTAAGTACGCCTCAGAGGCTCTTAGAACGCCGATTGTTATGATAATGTTCCATGATTTCGATTTTGCAGGCTTCCACAATGTGAAAAGTGCATGTTGTGGAACAGGATACTATGAGATGAGCTACTTGTGTGACAAGATGAACCCTTTCACATGTTCAGACGCAGACAAATATGTGTTCTGGGACTCATTTCACCCGACCGAGAACACAAACGCCATTGTTGCAAGCCACATTTTCAAGCACAACCTCTCTCAGTTCCAGTGATACAAACCGAGTTCAGTGCAGATACAAGCAGATATGTTGGTGTGTCCATTTTTCAGCGAGATGAAAGTGTAACATAGAAATAAATCCATTGGCTAAGCTTCTTCCTTCTATCACCTCAGACAAATCCAATATCCGTCACTATATTCATGGTCATAAAGATAATAGCGTTAAAGAAACAATAATTTGAAAACTATCAACTTCCATGGTTTGAAAAACAAGAGCCAGGTGCAAGAAAGATCAAAATACCGAACAAGGAGCCAAACTGTTTGGAATTCTAAAACGTTCGAGCACGAAATGACACAGCTTGTAGCCTTACTCCTATTTTGGTGTTTTGGGGAAATGCAGCTTGATGAGGGCAGGAAGCTCGGCAAGCTCAACCCGTTGTTTCCCGAGCAAAATGCTCTTCAGCTTCTCGTCACAATTCACCACATTCTTGTTGTTTGGATCCTGAAAAGCATACCATGAAACAAAAGCAATCAATAAGAAACCAGTTTTCTTGACTGACACGGAACCATCCTAGCTGATGCCATGCATGTCCTGACCTGAAGATTGTTGGCTTTGATGTAGGACCAAACACGCATGAAACAGCCCAGACGAGAAATCTGAGACTGACCCACGAATTCTCGTAGTGCAGAGGGAATATTTACGAGGTCGATCAAGTTTGCCAGCTTCTTTGGGCTGTCCCCTATAGGCTTCCTCAGCTGCTGCGGCAGCATCTTCGTTAACACCTCCCAAAATTTAACAACTGGTCAATCGAACCAAAAAAAAAAATTATTTTCCTCTTAATTCAGCATGTCATATACTACTGCCTGATAAAGAAAGTTCCTTTCTTTCACCCAGTAACAGATTTTTTCTTAGCAAAGGAATATTACTCTTTGGGTAATTTCATCGAGCAGGTTGTGCGCAATGGTATAGCAAACCCAAGAACCAAACATAAAAGACAAAATACAGATAAGTTCGGAGAACAATTGAGAAGAACTCAAAGAAAGGATCGAGAATTTCTTCCAAGGACATGCATGCATACATACCTGTAGCTGATGTTAACGATTTTTTCAACGCTGCGACAGGGAGCGGTTGTTCGAAAAACACACGGCAAAACGAGGAAGAAAACGCGAGATTACGAAACCCTCTGAGTCAGCCAGAAGATCTCCCTCTCTACTTTCCTAGGCCCACGGGAGCTAGTTCTTGGATTTCTGTACGGGCCGACAGCTTGAACACGTTAACCCGACCAACATTTTCAAAACAATATAATATATATTATGACATTTAAATTAGTGGTTTTCCATTATTAATATTTCAAGTTTGGTTAACGATTTATATCTAATCTTTGCCTTGACGCGAATTCGGGCGGCGGAAATGATAGGAGAATCTAGCAAAAACTATTATTAAATATGCTATTTTTTTATCATTTATTGAAGATATTTGATTTTGTTTATTTGCGACATTTAAATAAAAAAGATTACGCCGAATATAAAAATGCATAAAGTTTTAAAAATTTGTATTTCCGGAAAAGATGGCGTCGAAATTTTCTGTCTTTTTTTATACAAGTTTAACCATGTACGTAACATAACAGGTGGGTGCAACGACATAAACTTGTTTTTTGAATAAAGTGTGGAAGTTATATCAAACTTCAAATATCCCATCTTTTATGAAGAGCCAAACAAGAATCACAACTCTCGAATCATCATCATTATCATTATCATTATTATTATTTTATTTTATATATATAAAAGTACAGTTGAGTGAAGGAGGGATTGACACGTGTCCCATATAGATTTATAAATTAATTCTCTGCTATTAATGTACACATTAATATATAGGGTATACGTATACATGTCCTTCAATATAAGCAATTTTTTATTATTAAATTAATATATCAATTTAATCTATCGTTATTTTTTGATATTTATTAAATAGATTATTTTTTTTATAAATAGACAAAACTCCCAATAGATATTTAATATATTAACTTATATTAATTTAAAAGTTTACTGATTTTTTTTTTTATGTACATAGATGTTCATCTATCTAATAACCGTATACAATTATTTTTAATATCTTATGATTTTAATTATTCTGTTAAGTTAAATGTATATATTTCATAAAAAAAATTAAATATATAGAATTAATATACTCTTATCTTACACGTATCTTTATATATATATATATATGATATCCTATATATATAATTTTCTTTTGTCCACATTCTTCCCCTTCATTTACTCCTCTATTTTTCGTTTTCTAATTAGGTTAATTCATTTATTGACTGCATTCAATATCTTTAAAATATATTTAATTTTCCTAATTTCCATAAATTACATTCATTCCCTCTATCATACATGTATTCACGATATTATATGTTAATAAAATATCTAAATATTTTAATAAAAAAATATCTATATGTTTTTTGTGTCTATATAAAGCGACACGTTTTGTTTGGGACTTTTGAGTTCAACACACAACAGAACAAAATCCACAGAAAACAACCACTACAAAACTTGCAAGAATCTAAATCTGTCTCTCCCTTTCGCCCTTTCTATGCAATTTTTATTATTTTTATAGTCTTTAAAACAAACATGTCACAACTAGCGGATGAATACATGGTATGGAATTCTTTAGTTTTTGGCTGTGTTTTTTTCTTTGTCATGTAGAGATTGCTTGCTTGCAGTGTATATAATCGCGGTGACTATGAAAAGTCCAAGATGTTGTTATATGTTACTCGATACACCTTTTTTTTTTTTATCTATAATCTTTATTGGAATGGTGAAATAGATCTAAGAACTTAACTCTTCAGGTTGATTTGGTTTTCAAATTTGTCGCCTATTGATCTATTTCAGAAAATCTACAATGGCGTTGAATCCACTTTACCCATATGGTTGGATTGCTCTTACTTATACATTTCATTTTTATATACGTTTTATTTTGCGAGTGAGTTTTTGTTTCGTTATTTGTTTATTCGAATCATTTGTCTGACTTTTAAAAATTAGCACCATTTATTGTTTTTATAATTTTAATTAAATTTGGTTTATTTGCAGATTAGATTATTTAAAAATATTTAAAAATTTGGTTATTTAACCTTTTTAATATTTTATATTTCTTTTTTTTCTTATAGAAGTATAGTTTTCTTTTATTGGAGCATTACACGTGTTTATATTTTTAAGAATATTAAGAGTTACGAATTAATTAATTAATTCTCAATTAAAAAATAGGAGAGATTACATATTCGTTTAATTCTCTACACATTACTTCATCGTATATTAGCTAAAAGCACTATATAGAAAAAAATTATGTATGTCTTTCGTATTTACACAAAAAAAAAATTAAAAAAATCAACTCTTATTTATTACATTCCTTCATCTTAATTATAGTCTATTATATAATTATATCTATATCTATTATAATTATAATAATTAAAGTCAAGATATTTTGAATAAATTATATTTAGAACTCTTTATTTATAATAACTAAATCCATTCGATGTTTGTGTTTATAATAATTAGATTCAAGGAGATGTTTTCTCTTTTAGGCTCCCGAGTGAACATTTTTAATCATTCAGATAATCGTTTCTTTCTCTCTATATATTTGGTATATATTGACGATTTGTTTTTTGTTAAAAAACTATAATGTTGTGATGTCGAATCTCTTTTTCGTTATATGATGTGTTATGTTGTGTTTTATGGGATGAAAAAAATATGGTATTTTTCTCGGTTTGTCATTATCGGGTTTGACTGTTTAGGTTTTTGAGCCTATTGATACGATGATATATAGTGTCCCTCTAAAAGTCGCTCGGCACTTAGTCCATCGCTATGACTGATTACTTCAAGAAGTTGAAGCATAGGTAAAAATTGTTTCATTTTTTATTTCTTTTCGAATTTAAAAATTCTTGGACATTTCTCATTGTGGATGAACTTCTTCTTTTTTGAACTGACAGACGATGTTTTAATGCATACAAATGGATATACATTGCTATTTGTATATTTTATTATGACTAAATTACGAAGCGACGATTAGCTTAGCTATGGAGAGATGTACGAATTTCAACCGTTTATAACCAGAGATATGGGAATCTTCAACGAAGTAGAAAAGTTGGTCACCGATCGATTCATCAGAGATAAAGGAGAGTAGCTACTGAAACACGTGGTGTGATCGAACGAACCGGAGGCAAAGGATCCAACACTGAAAAACATGCAGTGTGCCAGAAAAGAATATATATTATCTTTTGGTAAAGTTGTAATATTTGTAAAGAAATTCTTTTTTTTTTTTAATATAAAAAGATCTTCTCATAACTTTTGAATTGTATTCTGGAAAGTTGTAATATTTTTTAGGAGATTCATCTAAAATTGTTTTGTCATATGTTTTATTTTTCTTTCTTGGTAGAACTTGATCATATTTAATTTAATATTTTGGGGAAAAAATAAATCTAAAACACAAACTTTTAGTATCTTATAATATCCGTTGAATTTAATATTTTGTATCTTAATGATCATTGTTTTTGAGATGTTCAATTCACGTTTTAACATTTTAACAGTTAACTCAGTTTTAAGTAACTAAATTCAATTATTTTAAGTTAATATTATTATCAATATAACATTGTAACGTTTTGCAATGTCCAAGTTTTCTAGAACAAAACTTTAGATTGTGTTTTTCTTTATTACAATATGGATATATATATATATATATATATGTATAAATTGTTGTAATATCGTTAGTTAATTCTAACCTACAAATAAAATGGTATATTTAAATTGGTATCTTTATTAATATCATAAATATATTTTTCATTAGAGTTGAAATGGATAAGTAATAAAGATAACATTTTTTTTAATAAATATTTATTTTGTCGAGGTAAACGCTCGGAGAGAGTGATTAGCGGGTGATATATTTTTTGTTTATTTATAATCAATCAAATAATTCAGTAATTAGTTATGTATTCACCGGTTAGGATGACTCTTTTAGGAGAACAATATTTTCAAATACTCTATGTGGTGACTAAATATGGAAAATATATGGTTATATATATATATATATATATATTATTTCTTAGTCGAATTGTGTGATAATGGAATATGTAAATACATATATATATATATATATATATATATATATATATATGGGTAAGTTTTTTATAAATATAAGTTATTGAAATATAATCTTTCAACGCATCTTATATATAGTTCGTTTCACAACAAAATGTACATATTATTTTTTAAAATTAAATCATTTGATGTTCCAATAGATAAAATCATAATTGAAAGAATTTAATGCAAAAAAAATTATTTTTATCAATCAAGGGTACTTGATATTTAGATGGACATGTTGTAGATTTCTAATCACTATAAAAGAAAATTTATGTTCTTTAATAACCAGAAAAGGTTACGGGGCTTTCGACCTACTCAATCCCCTAGGCCCGAAATTAAGCTTTAGTCACTCAGTAAAAAAAGTTATGTTATACATTTATTTTAATTTATCCCCCAATACTTTACAAAAAATAAATGATATAGCTAATTAGATTATTTTAATCATATATTATATTTTTTCCTTATATAAAAAATCTATTATTTAGACTATACTTAATGCAGTCGATGCACGCGGGTTAGTACATTTTCTACTATATTAAAATTGTATTTTATAACCCACGAAAAATCTAAACACAAAAATTATTCACAAACTATTTTTCAAAAGAAATATCATCCCATTATCTATAATTTTGAAAAGAATGACATTTTAATTTAATAATATGAATTATAATTTTTAAACAAAATATTTTATATTTAATTTTAAAACTAATAAATTATTTAAAATCTATATTTATATTTAATTCGTGTGATATATAAGAGTGAATATATTTGTTATATAAACGTAGAAGTTGTGTCAAATCTCTTTTGAAAAAATACATCATCTCATAATTATTCTGATTTAACAATATAAAATATTTTTAGTTCATTTTTTTTTTGAAATTTTTCTTTCGAAAAATAATTCTTCAATCCTTAATTTTATATTATAATATACGAAAATATAAACATAGGCACTATTCTCAATCATTTTTAAAAAAAATAGATATCATTATCTTAATATTTTTAAAAATTATTTATCATTTAGATTTAAGATATGAATTATAAATTCAAAAATAAAATATAATATATTCAAGTTTGAAACTAATAATATTTTAAAAAATATGTATTTGTAGTCCGCGCGATGCGCGCGGGGTTAAAACCTAGTATATATAAAAGTACCGTTCGTGTAACGGGAGAATGACACGTGTACTTTTATTAGGGAAATGAAAGATTGGGTTTTGTTTGTTTTACGAGAGTCAATTGTTCAATCAAAACACATGGCTACATATTCATTTAATTCTCTACTAACAATGTAAATTCTATTAATTTATTTATTTATCATCAATGAGGCGAGATTGATGGAACAAAATCATATGTTCATCTAATAATAATGAATATTTGGTATGACACGTGTCTATTATCGATAAGTTTCCATCAAATAAGAGTAAGATTTTCATTATATAATTGTCTATTTAATTTATTATTATTAGCTTCTATTTATTTACCTTCCATACTAATATATTTTATGTATTTGTATATACACATACATATTTATTTATATTATATATAAATATGATATAACAATCACTTTTTTGGAGTTTCTGGTGGTGATTCCTGCAGAAGAATCGAATATATTTTAACGTTCTTCGTTCATGGCGATAAAAAAAATAGATTTCCGAGATTTTTTATTTTACTTTTTTTATACCGGCATTCACACATTCATTAAATTTATTTATATATTTAGGTATATATACGTATTTTTAACTGTATTACTATCCTTTTAGATTAGATTTCGATATAAAACATGTTTTTGTAGTTTATTTTGTCATGTTTATTTTTATTTTTCAGTAATATACTTTTTATCTGCTTTAAAAAAGATCATCATATTCTCCATATATGGATGATTTAATTTCATTTAATTTGATACATAATTAATCAGAAAAAATGTTTATGTTAAATTAATTTTTATTTTCTACCTTAATTTTTGTGTTAAAAAAATTGGAAATATGTTTTGTGGAATTTGGACATACTCTTTTTAGATGAAAAGATATAGTTTCTTATTTAATAAATTCATATCCAATGTTAGAGAAATTAACGTTAGAGATATATGAATGAATGTAGAAATATTGAGGAAGATGGAAGGATGTTAATGTGTGTCATATTCTCGAGATAAATTATTTTTGTATACCACAACAGGTGCAGTTCATAATATTAGATTTTGTTCTATTCTCAACATACAGATTTGGTATTGTTAACATATATTGGATTTGGTTTCAATATATATATATATATATATATATAAGTACAATTTCTTTTAACGTAAGCATATATATATATATAAGTACAATTTCTTTTAACGTAAGCATGTATATTCTATTTATGTATATATATGTATACATGTATATATGTATGAGTTACACATTGTTTTGGTAAAAGGTTAAATAGTTATCACATTTAGTTATGAAAGGAGGTGGAAAAGGCGAATGAGACACCGCACATGAGATCTCCAATATTTTCAACTCATTCATATATATATTATAGTATTGCTTATGTTTAATTATATTCAACTTAATTAGGATCAATACCCGTATCTATATATAGTCGGTAATATTATTTTGCCTTTATATGGTCATATATATATGTTATATATAGTTTATGGTAATTTAAAAGGATGCGACATCCCGTTGATTCATATTCGAATATTATTAATCTTACTTATATGTGGGGAGAGTTTCATGGAATTTTCCAAATGATTCTTATTTTTCCTTCGTCCCGCCTTTTGTCTGCTTATAGAAACACGTCTTCCATGCTAATTTGTTTTTGTGGACCTGCAAATTGGAATAATTTGAATGATTTTTAGATTTTATGGTCCCAGAGAAACAAGTCTCATTATATTCTTGTTTTATTAAATTGTTTATTTTTGTATATCGAACGAAACATGTGATAATGTGTATAATATATATAGGTTGATATAAATATTTTATGTTGAAAACATGTGAATAAATCAACCAAAAGATATAACACGATGTTTTTTTTTTAATATAAAATTTCAAGATAACACATTTTTCAAAAACATTTTTCAAATACTCATCAATTTATCAAAAGTAAAAATATTTTATCAAATCATAAAATTTCTAAAGATATTCCAATGTTACTCATTTTAATACGTGATTCTATATTATAATCTAAAATTATAATTATAGAAACTATTCAAAATCTTTCTTCAAATATCCCGTTATCTTGACATTTTAAACATTATCATTTAAATTTAAGAATAAAAAATATAAATTCCAGAACAAAATCTAATATATTTAATTTTAAAACTAATAGTGATTTTGTTTACAATTCGTATATATTTTTAATCCGTCAGAATAATAATTAGGATTTTTCACATTGTGCTATCTTGAATTGTTTAAAAAAAATATGAGTTAAACAATATAAATTTATAAAATAAAAAATATTTAATATATTTTAATTTATAATTACTAATTATCTTAGTAAAGTCTATTCGTATTTTTAATCTGCGCGATCCGCGCGAGATATTACCTAGTAAAAATAAAAAGCTGATAAACCAAACCAAAATGTATACACGAATCAAATAAATACGGCAATACATATAATATTATAATCATAACATATAATATATATATACTCATATATAACACCTAATAGACACGTATCTACCCGAGAAAAAAATAAAAATAAATGCCAGTAGAATTCTCCGGATTCCTCCTTATCCGACTCAATGGCCTGTCGGAAATTCGCATTTTCCAAACCCTGAAACCACAAAAGAGCCAAACATATCATTTGGTGCTTAGACTTGTAACAATGCTCACGTGACGATGTAAGCATATATCGGTACCTAAATACGTACATCCGTGAATATCATACACGTATTTCCATTTTGAAGATAAACTAAAAAAATTATATTTGTGGTTAACAAAAATGAATATATATATATATGTGTGTGTGTGTCATGTGTGTGTGTATGTGTATGCTTCATGTCTACGTAAATATTAATCTTGGCACTTTTTGGGGGGAGATAAAGATAGAATACGTACTCGGCGGTTGGGTGACCACGTACGCCACACCACCAAAATCACACGTGCCGGTCCCACGTGCATTCTTGTGGTAGTAACTGTTGAAAGCGTATGAAGCGTGGGCCTCTAACGTGTTAGGATCGTAACACGTGGCACCTGGCTGAATCGGACGGCAGTCAGCCCCTCCTTCTCCACAAGCGTAATCAAGCGCCTTCTGCAACTTCTCCTCCTCCGACTCCCCGTTCGCCACGCACCACGTCCGCGCTTGGCCTCCACGCGCCGCAGTCGGAACCTGCGCCTTGCTCTCGTTGACCGGCGTTGACCTCCCTCCCGCCATCCCCAACGGAACGTCATACACTTTCTCCTCGTTCGGGTAAAACAGCCCGTAGTTTCTCTCCGACGTGGGACCCGGTTTCTGGTTCTCGTTAAACAAAGCGAACAAGTAGACGTTAAGTGGATCCTTCGGCCTTAACGGCGTCCCATTTCCCGTTAACACCCTCTTGATCAGATTACCGTTGTACGCCGCCGCGTTGGCCGCACCGGCTCCGATCTCGTTCTCGTCTCCCGCAGACGGCCATCCAGTCTCCGTTACCGTTAACGTAACGTCGTCGTATCCTATCGCTGACATGGCGGCGTAAACGGCGTCAACTTGGGCTTCGAAGAGGCTGTTATACTTCAACCCATTACCGGAATCTACAGTTCCGGGATTCTCCTTGAACAATGCGTAATCTAACGAGATCTTGTCGGCGTTCGCTGTGTATGCGAAGAATGGGTAAGCATTCACCATCAGATACGACGACGTTTGTCGGAAGAGGTCGAGCATCGGTTTGATAACCGGTTCGACCAATTCCGGTTTAAACGAACCGGCCGAAGGTGGGTACGAGCTTGCCAGCGAGCTGAGAGCTATGGGCGATGAGATCTTGATCGAACGGTCGAGATTGTACTTCATCAGAGAGCTGTGGACGTTCTTCATGGCCTGGACGAGATACTCCGTCGTGTTGTTAGGATCGACGAAGACCTCGTTACCGACGGCGATGGCTTCGATCTGCGTCGCTGGATAATATTCCGTGATGTTGGCTTCGACCCAGTTGTCGGAAAAGGACTGGTCGGCGGCGGCGGAGGAGAGGAGCTCGTTGGGAAGAGCAACGACGACTTTGATGCCGGAATTTGCGAGCGCCGTTAATACACTCTTGTCGGAATCGTAGAGCTTGACTCGGTCGATGCCTTGTTTTTTCAGAAGCTCCACCACCTTGTCGGGCGTCGGAAGATTATCCGCAATCCGGCCATAATTTATACCGACCATACCGGAATCTGAACAAACCGTAATATCAAATAGCGAAGACATCAGACACCAACAAACACAGACAAAATATTGTAAGAAACACGAATGCGCGTGAAAAGGAGTGAGATTAACCTGCAATGGTGGAGGCAATGGCTGAGAAGAGGAGAAGGGAAGAGATCAAGAACTTAGCCATGTTTGCTCCGTTGTCGGCAGAATCAGAGCTTGAAAACGCTGGCGAGGTGAGGTGGGTGGCTTTGTGGGGGGTAGAGAGATAGAGAGAGAAACTTTTCCGGTGACGGAAGAGATCGCTGCCGTATTTATAGGGTGGGTGAGGGTGGGGAAGGTGGGGGAGTGGGATAGGTCCCACGTGTGATGCTGACAACAAAAGTGGAGATTTAACTGTAGATTTGTTCGAAGTTTTCAACTCCTTCAATCGACGATATGTCGGAGTAACTTTTTTTTTTTAATCTCCTCCAAACTTGACCGTTTCATCGTCCAATTTCCTGAAATTGTGATACTTTGTAAAATCGTATAACAAGCCTTCTACATATCAAGGAGCACTATTGCATGGGATCATCATCATCATCAATGTATAACGTACAAAAATATACGTATTTTGTATTATACGTACGTCTTATATGTGTATTTTTTTACGAAGATGAACTCTTTAAATGCTGGCCAGTGCTGGGAAATGACTGTCCATATGGCATGAATGGGGGGATATGTGCCTTTTGTTAAAATTAAAACTCCTCAATTCGAACGTTATAGGGCTCTGCTGTCCAACGTCTCAAATGTCCTGTTTCAATCATTTTGATATTCCCAAAGTTTTTTGTCGTGTCCCTGAGCGTTACCTAATATCCGGGCCCTGTATATATTTTTTATATTTGTAATTGGTAATGAAACCGTGTATTCATTATCAACCAACACCTCCATTGTCCGGATCTATGCAGACTAAAACATTTAGGGGCGGGTGTTTCGATACTTGGTTCGGGTTTGAATTGAGAATGGTTCGATTTAATTCTTTCGATTTTACAAAAATATGTACCAATTGGTTATTATATTATATTCGGTTCAATTCCGATTCGATTTGGTTCTGAATTTTATTAAAAAATATAAATCTTTAAAAAAAAAATTAGTTTTTCGGGGGTTTTTTAACATCGTTTCGGTTCAGTTCGGTTTTATAAAATTCGGTTTTTCTAAAATTAATATCGTTCGAATCGAAAAAAATACCGCATTTTTTGATTCGATAAGATCCACCAAATCGTCCATCCTAATATAATTTCAGCCAAAAATATCAAAATGTTTGATATTCGGATATTTACTGGAAACTCAAAACTCAAAACCGAAAAACGCTTGTGGTTAAACGGGTTGGCCGACATGTCGTTTCTATAACTCTTTATACGGAATCTCGGGATCATCTCTTATTCGAGTGCATTTACACCAACTTTTTGTAGATATATGATTGTTCAATTAAATTTGAATGTCTCGAATATCCAAAATTCAATAATTTTGCACAATTAATATTCTTGCTTAATGTTGGTGCACCAAATTTAACCATAAGGACTATATATATATATATATATATATATTATAACCCCCACAATATTCAAAGCTAAATTTGGTGATGATATGTGAGATGAATTGCTATGAGGTAATTTAGCTACTTAAACACAAACCGTCTATATTAAATAACTGAAAATTTGGTAGAGAATTGGTGCCGATACAAAGAAAATCATGATGCAAGAGTTTGACTTAATTAGACGACGCGTCTTGAAGATAAAACAAAAAAACATCATGGTATAGAACTCCATATCTTGTACGAATATCACACTACACAAGTTTCGTATGTATTGTGTTAAAAACGCTCTAATTATATTTTTTTTATGATAATTATCTTTAGAATTTATTCTAATAATAGAGAGCGAGAAAAATTCAATCTTTATTTACCATTTTAATTTGAATATATAACACAAACGAATCAAATTTGGTTATACATAACTTAATTCGTATTAAATTAATTGAATACAAATTTAATATAAAAATAATGAAAACTGTTAAATATAATATGTTTTAAAAGAATTAAAAAAAATGGAATTTGAACGTGGATAATTAAACGTTTTCTAAAATAAAAAATTGTATATTATTAATAACACAATATTTTGTTATTTTCATTGAAGTCGGCAAAAATAAACGGAGAAAACGGGGGCAAATGCGGCAATAAATTACATAGATAGATGTCAATTCCATATTTGACTTATTTACACCCTTCCGTGACTTTACAATATGAACATCGACATAACTATTTTCTTATCCACCAAGAAAATTTTCAATTTCGGTGGTTGTCTGTATGGTTGATTTGTAGATAAGAAAGAGCTGGGTTTAATAATAATGATGGTGATGATGATGATGATGATGATGATGATGATGATGATGATGATGATGATGATGGGGCAGCGGCAGCCCACGTGTTGGCCCAAATATAATATGACGACCCATTAAGCGGTGTGGGACGACGTCGTTTAGACCCAAAGTCGCCGTTCAGTATCCGCCGTTGGTTTAGAGATCAATGAAGGAATAGCAGCCGTTCGATAGGCGCCCCACGATTCCACTCAGCAATAGTGGAATTGGATTCCATCAGGGAACAACAAGACAAGTCCAGCATCGTTATTCTGTGGATTCGGAGCCGCTACTCTGATCGCGCGAATTTCTCGCTCCGGCGACTTGGTTCCGAAAATCGAAGTTTTCCGGCGAAAATCCTAGGAAGTGAAGATGTGTCAGTTAGCCAGGAAGAAGACAAGAAGCCCGGCGACACATCAATCTCAAGGTCAAAGGCCAGGTCTCTCTTTCAATATTTGGAAGAAATTTTCATTGTATTGAAAAATCAAGCTGTACATGTGTTTTTATACACAAAAGAATAACAAATTTGCTAACAGACTCTAACAAATTCTACAAAGGGTGAAAGGCATAGAGGAATCTGTTGTGAGAACGAACAACATCGTCTTCGACCTCTCGCGTGTTCCTTACTGGGCTCATTATTGCTGAAAGCATAAATGGGCCTGTATCGGGCTTTTAGACTGGGCTTCATATCCGTGATACGCCCCCCTCAAGTCACGGTCAGTAGAAAGAGACTTGACAAATTAAGCCGACTTAAAAGCGCTGAAAACAGAGAGGGCTGCATTTGCTTCGTGAAGAGATCGGCAAGCTGATGATATGAAGAAATATGAAGCATCTTCAGGAAACCGGACTTCAGTTTTTCTCGCACAAGGTGACAATCAATGTCAATGTGCTTAGTGCGCTCGTGAAAAACCGGATTAAAGGCTATGTAAATGGCGGACTTGTTATCGCAGAATAAAGCAGCAGGATTTGAAACCTTGACATGTAGATCATCAAGCAAATGCTGTAACCAAACGAGCTCACAGGTTACATTTGCCAAAGATCTGTATTCGGCCTCGGTGCTGCTCCGAGAGATGGTGGATTGCTTCTTTGCTTTCCAAGAGATAAGAGAATCTCCGAGGAAAACACAAAAGCCAGAGGTTGAACGCCGAGAGTCGGGACAAGATGCCCAGTCCGTGTCTGCAAAAGCCTTCAACGAATATCCGAGTCAGCAGAATAAAAGAGGCCTTGACCTGGATTACCTTTAAGATAACGGACGACACGCTGAGCCACCTTGAGATGAGCAGATGTTGGACAAGACAAAAACTGACTCAGCTTGTGGACAGCAAAGGTGATGTCAGGCCTGGTGATTGTTAAGTACAACAATCTCCCAATAAGTCTGCGATAACTAGTTACATCGGATAAAAGATCCCCTGTGTCCTTACTTAGGCGAGAATTGGGGTCCAATGGAGTGGAGGCTGGTTTTGAGGCAAGCAAACCGACATCCTCAATCAACTCCAAACAATATTTTCGTTGTCCAACAAAAATCCCTTGCCGAGATCGAGCGATTTCCAACCCCAGAAAAAACTGTAATTTACCGAGGTCCTTAATGTGAAATTGTTGACTGAGCAGTGATTTAAGTGCCAGAATTGCTCGGTCATCATTGCCGGTAATGATGATATCGTCAACGTAAACCAACAAAGCCACAAAGGAATTACCAGATGAGCGCACGAACAAGGTATGATCAGCCTGCGATTGAATAAATCCAGCAGAAAGCAAGACTTTGGCAAAAGTGAGATACCATTGCCTCGAGGCATGTCGTAACCCATAAAGAGATTTGTGTAAACGACATACCGCATTCGGAGGCAAGGATTTCCCAGTGTCATCAGTGTATCCGGGAGGCAAGTCCATGTAAATTTCCTCGTCAAGGACACCATGAAGAAAGGCGTTCGTCACGTCCAGTTGAAACAAAGACCAGTTTTTTATTGCTGCAAGAGCAAGAACAAGCTTGACTGTGACTAGCTTTGCAACCGGAGAGAATGTATCAAGAAAATCCACGCCTTCTTGCTGAGTAAATCCCTTGGCCACCAAAGTGCCTTAAATCGGTCGACAGAACCATCAGGCTTCCGTTTAATCCTGTACACCCAACGACATCCGACGGCACGTTTGCCAGGAGGTAAGGATACAATTGACCACGTCCCGTTTTCTGCCAAAGCCTGAAGCTCAATCTCCATAGCTTTCCGCCACGCTACATCAGTCACAACATCCTTGAAGGTTTTTGGTTCAGTGGAAAGGGAAGAATTGAGGATAATGAACCGATACTGAGGAGAAAGACGAGAATAGGTTAGAACCGAGGAAAGAGGGTAAGAAGATGTCGAGGAATTAGGAAGAGGACTGTCGGTGGTGAGATTTAACAATGATAGTCGTGAAGATAGGAGGGTGGGTGTGTGCTTTGCTTTGGACGAGGTGGAATAGGCGAAGTTGAATTTGGCTGAGAGGTAAATGGGCCTAGGTCTGAAGAAGATGGGCTTTGAGAAGAAGATGGGCTAGGCATAAAAGATGGGCTTGGAGAAGGAGATGGGCTATTATCGGTGGAGATTAAAGGGTCATCTCTGTGAAAAGAAGTGTTGTTGCTCGAAGGAAAAATGGGCAAAGGCAAAACACTTGCTGGAAAAACATGGTCAGGTGTAATGGAAATATCAGAGTGAATTGGGAAGATATTTTCATGGAACTCAACATTACGCGAAATGATGATGGAATTTGAGGCAATATCAAGGAGTTTGTACCCTTTGTAGCCTGACGGATAACCAAGAAAGACTGTCGCCCGAGCTCTAGCCGAAAACTTGTGCCGTTCCGAGAGAAGTGTAGAGGCGTATGCTAGACAACCGAAGGCTCTCAGATAGGAGTAATCAGGGGTTCTGTTCTTCAACAACTCATATGGAGATTTGTTGGACAGTAGAGGTGACGGTGTCCGGTTAATCAGAAATACAGCAGTTCTGATGCAATCGGACCAAAGACGAAGAAGGATGTTACCTTGAAACAGGAGCGCTCGAGCCACGTTCAAAATATGATGGTGCTTTCGTTCAACGACAGAGTTTTGCTGAGGCGTCTGCACGCAGGAAAAGTAGTGAACAATCCCTTTCGAATGAAACAGAGAATCAAAGGATAGTTCTAGGGCATTGTCGGAGCGAACTGCCTTAACTTTCTGCGAATACTGCGTTTCTACGAGAGTTAGAAACCGCGGAATAACTTCCAGAACATCATTCTTACGAGCAAGCATATAAACCCATGTTACCCGAGAATAATCATCAACGATTGTCAAAAAGTACTTATACCCGTCATGAGAAAGAACGGAAAAGGGACCCCATATATCGATGTGAATGAGATAAAAAAGAGACTTAGATAAATTGTTGTTTGAAATAAAAGGGAGTCGGCGTTGTTTATATAAATGACAAACACGACAATGGGAGGGAGCATCAAACTGAGAAAGAGAAAGAGTTTTTGTCATTGATCGTAACTTTTTATAAGACAAGTGTCTGAGACGAGAGTGCCAAAGAGAAGGATCAACAACAACCGAGTTAACATGAACAGAAGAAGAAAGAACAGGTTTGAAATGAGACTCAAGAAAATAAAGGTTGTGTAAAAGCTTAGCTCTCCCAATCGTCGACCCCCGATAAAGCTCCTGGATAAGGCAAGAACCAGAAGAGAACAAACAAGAAAGGTTAGATTGACGAAGCAAAGAGCTGACGCTAATGATATTGAAGGTGAAAGATGGGACATAGAGCACATTTGACAATTGTAAATGATCATTCAAGGGCACTTTTCCAGCCTGAGTAACCGAAATTTGGAGACCAGTGGGTAGCGTGACAGTGCTCGGAAGAATAGGAACCAACTTTGAGAAGAGATGTTTGTTGAAACAAACATGTGCAGATGCCCCTGAGTCTAAAATCCAAGAGTTTCGAAAATCTCCTGAGACAGACGCAGCATGACAGACAAAGGCAGAGAGAAAAGGCGATATACTAGCATCAGGATCAGAGGCAGGAGCGCCATGATCAGTGATGGTCGCAGAGGGGACTTTGAAGCGATTGTTTATCCTGGAACAGAGCTCCTGTAGCTGAGTGAGAGACATTTTGTCCACATCAGAACCAACTGAGATAGTCGTCTCTGCAACAAGGTTAGCGAAGTTGGGAGATGACTTGGATTGTGTCTGTCGAACTGGAGCCCGAGAAGAGGGCGAGCCACCAGATTTCGGAGCTCTGTACCCAGGAGGGTAGCCATGGAGCTTATATCACTTCTGTACAGTATGCCCATAGAGGCCACAGTGCGTACAGAGAGGACGTTGCTTGCCTTTGAAATTTACAGCAGAAACAGCCGAGGCAGAATCCGGAACGGGTGAGGCAGAGGTCTGAAAGATGACAGCATCCGGCGACTTGGAAGATCTGATCATTCGCTGCTGCTCTTGCTGGATTACAAGGTTGTAAGCTGTTTGAAGATTAGGAGGTGGATCCATGGCGAGAATGTGACTACGAACACTTTCGAATTCGTCATTGAGTCCGAAAAGAGAGTCAATGACGAAATCTCCTTCATTTTCATCGTTCCAACGCTTTGACAAAAGGCAAGTGCACCGCCCACAGGTGCAAGAGTGATTCGCCCGGATGGATTTGAACTCCTTCCAAACAGCAAAAATAGTTGTGAAGTAAGAAGCCACATCCATGGAGCCTTGACGAAGATCACGTAACTTTTGCTTGATTCGATACTTCCGCGGGGCATTGCTCTGCTGAAAGCTCTTGGCAAGGAACAACCACATTTCCCGAGCAGTCTTGGCATACAGCATGCTATGGGCAATGTGCTCAGCCACAGAGTTCATAATCCAGCCACCAACAATGGCGTTGTTATGAACCCAGAAGCGGTAAATGGGATCTTCTTCAGCAGGTATCGGCAGAGAACCGTCGACAAAGCCGATTTTGTTCCGGTCCTCAAGAGCCATCCGAAAAGATCGAATCCAGGAAGGGAAATTAGCAGCTCCGATCAGTGGTTTGGTGACGAGAGTCATTCCACCATTGTCGGAGTTGGAGAGATAGTAAGGACTATCAAAATCGGGGCTGAAAGTAGCTTGAGGAGCCACCGCAGCAACCGGAGGAGTGATCGTAGGGGTTTGTTCCGCCATTGAAGGAAAGAACAAGGAAAGGAAATAGGAGAAGAAACGAAAAGAGCGATCGAAAAAAAAAATCAGAGAGAAAGCTCTGATACCATTTCAGTATTTGGAAGAAATTTTCACTGTATTGAAAAATCAAGCTATACATGTGTTTTTATACACAAAAGAATAACAAATTTGCTAACAGACTCTAACAAATTTTACAAAGAGTGAAAGACATGGAGGAATCTGTTGTGAGGAACGAACATCATCGTCTTCAACCTCTCGCGTGTTCCTTACTGGGCTCATTATTGCTGAAAGCATAAATGAGCCTGTATCGGGCTTTTAGGCTGGGCTTCATATCCGTGATACTCTCTCTCTCTCGCTCTCCCATTTTTCTTATTTAGGGTTTCTGGGTGGATTTGATTCTGATTTGACGTCTTTATATCGTTTCGTTGTTTACGAGAGAAAGCAAAACACACGTGATTGCATGTTTTTTTTGGATAACCGAGTGTTCCGTAACAATGCCCAGTCGCGGTCGGGTCAGTCATGTGATTGCATGTTTACTTGAACTGATTGTTAAACAAGTATCTGGGTCTACATCAGTATCTCCTGTCCTGTTTGTTCTTGTGTTGATGAATTGATATAGCTGTCAGGTAGACAATAATTTTTGTTATATAGAACAGAGGTGACTGTTTTAGTGGAATTCAAATGGTTGAATCGCTTGGCTCGTCAAATTGAAAGCATTTGTGGAATAGAGGCTAAAACGAATAGGTTGATGCCTCAAACTAGAGTTATTTGCCGATGAATTGATAGATTCTGTAAAAGGATTGAGAAGAGTTGTGTCTAGTGGGTTGTGTTCATACTCTCATGAATATTTTCTTTCCAAATCTCGGTTGTCCATAAATTTGATTCTTTTTCCCATCTTGGGATAGGTTGTGTGACGGGTAACTTTCTTCGTTCATCTGTTCCGTGTTAGTGGTCACGGGTTCGGGTCCCGAACCCCCTTTGTGCACCGGACTGCCTTTGTTCTGGTTTATTGGGTATGTGCTCTTCTCCTCTTTTAAAGGGTCTTGCAAAAGGAAGATGTTACCTATCATTGTTGTCATTGTACAGGAATGTTGTTAGCAAAGGCTACTTCATGTACTTATATACAGAGACGGCATTGAATTTATTTTCTTGGTCGGGAGAGAAGCACTCTACTGAAAAAGCTGACCGGCAGTCTGTTGATACCAACTCAATTGCTTTCTTGTTTGACGGGCGTCGTCTCCGTGGGGAGCAGACTCCCGACAAGGTTCGGTTTATCTCTTTTGATTCCACCATTTAGACTCTCCTTCTCTCACAATTTCAACTGCAATGGCATTTCTACTAGCCCTAATCTTTGATACTACAGCTTGAGAGGGAAGACGGTGATGAGATCGATGCCATGCTTCACCGAGGTTCTATGGCCTGATAACAATTTTCTAGGGTTCTTTTTTTTTCTGTTATTGTTTGATGTAAATGGATATCATTGGACAAAATGTAGGATTTGCAGGTCAGTTGTATAGCCCTTCGGTTCTACATTTTTGAATCATTTGTGTTATTCACATGCCAATCCGGTTCGGTTTGATGTATAATCCATTACCATAGCTTTGTTCAAGATCGGTCACGCTTAGAGACGGAACAGGTAACGGCGTCAACTCCCCCGTCACTATACCGTTTAGGTTTTCAGATACCTGCTTTCTCTCAAAGTCAAGGTCAACGGAAAAACCTGCTTGCTCGTTTACTTGGCGGCCAAGTTTACTTGGTGCTCAAGTTTCACGACAGTCGTATAAGTGACCGTTTTCTACGTTTAACTTCTCCAAAGACCCTTCTCTTTCTATGTCTCTCTCCCCGACAACGCTGGAACTTTCTGTTACTTGTCCTGCTGTAACAATGGTGGAATCATCTTCTTCTTTGTCTTTGTGGTCGGATTTACCTCCGGAGCTTCTGGACTCTGTTTTCGGCGGCCTATGTAATCTCAAAGACATCCTTCGTTCTTCCTCCGTTTGCTCCTCTTGGCATTACTCTGCTTCGCTCGTTTACCATCGCAAGTTCGTTCCTTCTCTCGCCGTGTTCAATGGCCCGACAGACAAAAAATTTCGAATCTTGAATCTTTTAAAAGATCCTACACATGAAGAATCCGATCGTTCGGAATCAGATTTCAGAGTAGATTCCGATATCTGGTTTTGTGGTTGTACAAGAGGTTTTTTACTCGCAATCGGTGTTTCTTTTCCCTACCAGGTCCACTTAATAAACCCATATACAAAAGCGATTTCCTCTCTACCCTCGTTGTCGCCATTGGAGGATGTTCAACAGTTGCTTCAGTTCCAAGAAATCTCCCGAGTCTCGGGAATTTTGAAAAGTTTCGTCAAGAAAGCTGTTTCTTCTGCAATACCTTCAAACCCAGACTGTATTGTGATGATAATATACAGTTTCGATCGGAACCCTACAAGGTCCACTTAATAAACCCATATACAAAAGCGATTTCCTCTCTACCCTCGTTGTCGCCATTGGAGGATGTTCAACAGTTGCTTCAGTTCCAAGAAATCTCCCGAGTCTCGGGAATTTTGAAAAGTTTCGTCAAGAAAGCTGTTTCTTCTGCAATACCTTCAAACCCAGACTGTATTGTGATGATAATATACAGTTTCGATCGGAAACTAGCGCTCTGCAGACGCCGAGATAAAAACTGGACAGATTTCGAATCCGTTCCAGGGATCTCATCTATAGATGACATCGTGTTCTACAATGGTATATTTCTCGCCATCGACAAGATCGGAGAAATATACAGCTGTGAACTTAGCCTTGATGATGCTCCAAAGGCCGTACCGATGGGAAGAGCCGCGCCCTTTAAGTACGAGCCGTGCAAGAAATACTTTGCCGAGTCGGTTTCCGGAGAATTGTTTCTGGCCCTCAAGAAACTAGAGTACAGCGACGAAGGCGATTCCACGACGTGTTTTGTGATCTATGAACTGGATTCGGACACGGGAGAGTGGAGAGAAGTGAGGAGCTTGAAGGGGAAAGCTTTGTTCTTGAGCTCCCGAGGTCTGTCAATGGCGGTTTCGGCGGGAAACCCGGGATCTAGTGGAGGGTTCGTGGAGGAGAACTCCGTGTACTTCACAGATGGCTTAGGAATGTCGGACAGTGTGGGCGTCTTTGAGTGGGAGAGTAAGCAGATCAAGAAGCTTTATCAGCCGAGTTCTTGGAACTCTCAGTTGTTTTGGATAACTCCTGCATATGCGTATTGAAAGTACATTTCTGCATAAGGGAAGTCCGGAAGTACATTAGGATACATCAAATAATAATTAAATAAGATATATTACCAATATTTTTCGTGTGTATATATATATCTTAGGATATGAGATAACGAAATTAAGGATATATAAATTGTCTGAGAATATTAGGATAATATTGTAATATCTAGAGTTAATTTTATTTTTATATTTAAAATGTTTATATTGATTAAATAAGGTATAATATGATTGTTTTTCTATAAGTATAAATATTTTAATCTCTATAAATATTGTAACTGGCAAGTTTCTAATATTTTTTCGTATAGAATTTCAATTTCCCAAAGAGATATCACTAAATTAGGCTGAAACATATCGATGCTTTCGGACATAACTCCCTTTATTGGGCTCGAAACAACGTTCCCTTTGTTTCAATGTAATTTGAGCTGAGATCCACGACACTTTTGTGTTGACAGGTGAAACATCGTGTCGTGTTTTTACCATTAAACATCGTGTAGTTTTGAGGGAAATTATAAAAACATCGTGGCGTTCTTCGAAAAACTTGCGAGAGCGCCCTTGTTGGTCAGACACGTAAGTGCTTTTAGGTCTCTCTCTCTTCTCGGTCTCTCTTTCTCTCCCGACAACTGCCGGAATGGAGACGAGCACCGGAGATCTACCGGAAATCGTTCGGGAGCTGGAGGAGTTAAAGGCAAGCAAAGCCGACATCGAGCGGCGAATTTCGACCCTCGAAGCGCAGCTCCGGGAGACGGCGGTTGCGGACGCCGTATCTAACGGTCACTGTTGTCCCACGTTGTCGGCGGTTGATTCCGACCTCGTCCATGGCTTGTCTCCGGACCAGATTTACCGTTACAGTCGTCATCTGCTGCTCCCTTCATTTGGAGTTCAAGGTAACCAGCGAGCTTTTGCAGATTCAGCTAGTTTTATGCTTTTGAAGGGCTTGATTTTGTTTCGGTGGACTTAAACAAGCAACAAATTGCCAATTACGAAGCGAAACTAACTGATGATTTTGGTTGCTAATGGACAAAAAGTGCTGTTTTTCATGTGCACTTTGTGATTCTTGGTGGTTATTCTTTTTTAAGTCGCTAGAAGACTCCGTCTTTGATACACGAGCTTTACATCAACACTAGGACTGCTTCATGAGGCTCTGAGTTTGAACTCAACGTAGTGACATTTGAGACAATTTGTTGGATTCAATTGATGTCTCGTGATGGGTTTGACTTCATTTTGTTCTAGAATAGCTAAGATTTCCTCTGTGACTTCAAGACAAGCAATATCTTGTTCTTTGTTGTTGTCTAGTTCTTAGGAATTGATCAGTGTAAATCTATTTTCTGCTTCTCGGATCACTCTCTATTGATCCGTGATATGTTCTGTCTGATTGTAGGGCAGTCAAACCTCTTGAAGTCTTCGATATTAGTTGTCGGAGCTGGAGGGCTGGGTTCACCAGCCTTACTGTATCTTGCAGCATGTGGCGTGGGTAAGATTTTAGACTCTTAACATAAAATCTGATGACTTATTTGCTGAACCAATCTGATTTCCCTTGATTCTGTTCTTCCTCTTGATTTGCTCCTATAGGCCGACTGGGTATTATTGATCATGATGTTGTGGAGCTCAATAATATGCACCGGCAGGTATAACTTTTCTCGGCTATTTTTTGCATTTGGGGCTAGTTGTCTGATATTATTTGTTGCTTTACTCTTTTCTCTTGATTGATTTTCTTGCAGGTTATCCATACCGAACGATTTATTGGTCTGCCCAAAGTAAAATCTGCTGCTGCTGCATGTCGCTCGTAAGTCCAAATCCTGCAAGTAGATATTTAAGTATGCAACTCTCCCTCACATGCAAATTTACCTTTCCATGCTACATTTCTGATAAGCAAATGCCTCGTCTAATATGGCGGTTTTTTTTTTCTTTTTGTTTTTAAAATGGCAGCATAAACTCCACAATTAAAATCGTTGAACATGTGGAAGCTCTGTCCACATCCAATGCTTTGGAAGTCTTCAGCCAGTATCCTTTATATACTAAGCTCTTCAGTTTTAGCCTTCTCAAATCAAGTATGGAATGTTATAAGTTTCCATGACTGCTTAAATTTTCGTAGATACGACATCATAGTTGACGCAACCGACAATCCTCCGAGCCGTTACATGATCAGTGATTGCTGTGTGCTGTTGGGAAAGGTATAAATCCATCATCTAATCTAAGCCCTCGTTACTCGTTATTCACTTAGTAGTAGTAGTCTCTGTAATTTTTTACTACTTCTGAGTAGAATCAATCACCATATTTCTGTTTTATATGGATTCTTCTATGACAATGTTGCCTGTCTGCTTGATGTGACTTATGTTGGGTATGCAGCCTCTGGTGTCAGGTGCTGCACTTGGAATGGAAGGACAGGTAATTTAAACATGGTGATCTACTTTTTTGTTTGAATGCTTTGCAGATGTTTAATCAGGACATGAAACACTAAAGTGCCGCTGTTTTATTTTTGCATACAGCTTACTGTCTATAATTACAATGGAGGCCCATGTTACAGGTGCATGTTTCCAACCCCGCCGCCTTCTATGGCGTGCCAGAGATGTGCTGATAGCGGAGTTCTTGGAGTAGGTACATAAATTGGGGGGGGGGGGTGTTATTCGGTAGAGCTCTGCTCGTACATTTACAATCTTGTACTTAGTCTCCTCTTTCCTCGTTTTTCTCAGTTCCTGGAGTTATTGGCACTCTCCAAGCACTAGAGGCAATCAAAATAATAAAGTGGGGGGGGGGGGTGTTATTCGGTAGAGCTCTGCTCGTACATTTACAATCTTGTACTTAGTCTCCTCTTTCCTCGTTTTTCTCAGTTCCTGGAGTTATTGGCACTCTCCAAGCACTAGAGGCAATCAAAATAGCAAGTGTTATCGGTGAACCACTCTCTGGACGGATGCTTCTTTTCGATGCATTGTCTGGAAGGATCCGCATTGTAAGTTTTACGGTACCTTTCTTCCTTGTTGGTCTCCTCCTCGATGTGAACTTATCAAGAACCGTGTTTGTGCAGGTCAAGATCAGAGGCAGGTCGGCCCAGTGTACTGTTTGTGGAGACGATTCTGCTTTCGACAAGCAGTATTTCAAGGGTTTCGACTATGCAGAGTTCACCCAATTCCCTCTATTTGTGGTATTTCTCCCGGAAATCCTTCGGTATCTTCGTTTCTGCTTCGACAAGAGTCTCGTTTTTCTGAGAAGGCGTAACTCTCACCTGCATTACTGTCATGGGCAGGGACCGTTGAAGTTAAACCTGCTTCCTGCAGAGTCAAGAGTGAGCAGTAAAGAGTTCGGAGAGATTGTTCAAAGGGGTGAACCGCACTTACTAATCGACGTTAGACCCTCTCATCACTACAAGATCATCTCTCTTCCGGGATCACTCAACATACCTCTTGCAAACTTAGAGGGTCGGTTGCACGAGCTCACTTCAGCGCTGGAAGAAAAGGCTGGTGAGGTTAAGACCGGGTCTGGCATGGGTCCGGGTCTCTACGTCATTTGCAGACGTGGAAACGATTCACAGAGAGCCGTGCAATATCTCCGTGAAGCGGGTTTTGACTCGGCTAAGGACATCGTAGGAGGTCTGGAGTCATGGTCGGCCGATGTTGATCCCAACTTCCCGACCTACTAGAAAGAGAGAAGTGCGTCAAGATTGCAGCGTGGAAATCAATGCTTGGCCGATCAAAGCTCCACCTCTGTGTTATGTCACCCCAAACAGAGGAAACGGAATGAATGTAAGGAACAAGGATGATGAGACTGAATCTGTGCCAAGTACTTGTGCCTTTTTATTATGTTGTATATAGCGATGGCAAAATTATCGTAAAGTGTATCTGCGGATATCCGATTTTATGGTATTCGTCTTAATTGAAATTCGAATCCGAATCTAAACCTATAAATGTGAATGCGGGTAATAAAAATTTTTAAAATGTGTATGTACTAGTGATGGTAAAATGAGTCAGGTTCGTGAGCCAGTTTGCGGTCGGTTCGCAGCGAGTCCGAGTCTGAATCTATCCGGACTAATTCGGTCGGCTCGCGAGATGGTATTAAAAAAATATTAGGGATTCATACCTTAATTTTTTCATTTCTTCTGTTTATATAACAAACTAAAATTCATGATATATTGATGTTGGTGTATATTTTTTGTTATATTTTAATTTTGTTGGTGTATGACACTTTTTATGTTGCTTTGGTGATGTGAGATTAGATTTTTTGTTATTTTTTTTTAGGGAAAATCTCAAAAAAAACACTGAACTTTACAATTTTGAGAAAAAAAACGAAAAAAAAACACTGAAATTTATTTTTTGTCAAATAAACATTAAACTTTTTAAACGAATCTAAAAAAACACTGAACTTTTTAAATGATCCAAAAAATACATAAACTTTTCTGCGATTATAAAAAAACACTGAACTTTTTTAGTGATCCAAAAAAATACATGAACTTTTTTCGATTGTAAAAAAAAACTAAGTAAAATAATCTGACGTGTTTGCATCTCATTGGGCCACGTCACTCATTTTGTTTATTTTGACAAACGTAGAAAAGTTAAGTGTTTATTTTGTCAAACTTAAAAAGTTTAATATTTATTTGATAAAATAAAAAGTTCAGTGTTTTTTTTTTGTCAAAATTGTAAAGTTCAGTGTGTTTTTTTGGATTTTCTCTTTTTTTTTTTATTTAGATATGATTTTATGGACTGTTATGTTAAATATTTTATGATATATTGAATGAGTTCAAATTATTTTTATGTACACTTCAAATTATTAATTTTCATGTAATTTTAAAATTTTTTCATATAATTAGATAAAAACAGGTTGGTTTGTGAGCCGACTCAGAACTCGAATAATTTGGTTTGGATCAAAGTTTTTCTATTTCGTAAAAAATGAATCGAACGAGTTGAATAAAAAATGAGTTGGGTCGAGTCGAATGAGTCCGAACTAACCTGTTTTACATCACTAGTATGTACATGTATCTGATTAATATTGCTATAAACAATTATACTGGTTTATAACATTTTCATAAAATGAACTGTCTTAAGTTAAGATCTCTTATTTTTTAACATTATCTTACAAATAATAAAATCATTTTTATTCATCTCTCGCGTACTCTTTTTATCTCAATTCACCTCTCTATACTATAATCACAACTTTATTTTTTTTTAAATCTATAAATATTATTAAATCCAAATATTCAGGAATACTTGTACCTCGAATACTCGTAATCTTTAAATTCGAGTGCAAATCATAAAATGAGATTCCCGAACACAAATCCAAATACTCCGGATATCCGATATGTAGCCATCCATCCCTGTTTGTATCCATGCCCAAGGAAAAAAAAAAAAAAAAACCAAAACGAAGTTGATTAACTTGAAGCTTCACTGTGGGATCTCATAGAAATACGAACAATATGAAAAGCCAAGGTCCTTCAAGAATACAAGTCAAAGTCTATAAAGCATTTACGTTGGGTTGGGGGATGAGAAGAAGTAACCCTCTGTCTGCATTGTGCAATCATTTCTTCTCATCCTCTTGGACCTCTTGCTCGTTGTAACGGCGTTTGAACTTAGCGATCTGACCAATGCTCTCAGCCATTTGACGCTTAGCCCTAAAGTGGTAGACTTTACCAGTATGGTGAATCCTTGTCATCATGACATGCATCAATCTCCCGCTCTGCGTCACATACGATATCCATTGCATCTGTGGGTGTATTCCTTTCTTCATATCCAATCCGACGAATCTGCAAACAAAAAACCAGATTATATTCTCTCTACGATTTCTCCTCTCGTGTTCTTCATCAGAATCGTTCAACGGATCTCCTCGTGAGGAGTAAATAAACAAAGGAAACCATTCATTACTCGGTTTCCACTTCTACACAAAATGAACATGCACAAACATACCCCGGAGATGGTTAGTCCGAAAGGCGTTCAAGCCAAGCATTTGTCATAGCTGTCCAGATTATCAAAGACAAAGAAGGACTAGCAAAACATTTGCAAGCTTGGTTCCGCTTTTCGTAAAAAGGTTGTCTTTAACTAAATAAAACTTATTCAAAAGCTAGACCCTTTGGGCATACAAACACGGGGAGTTCACCGAAATCGCCGTGCCAAGACATTCATTATGAACTTCTAATGAATGGACAAATGAGCATTATGACCAGAGGGGTCAGATCATGCGATAATCTGACATTGATTAACAAAGCAATGTCCAATGCAAGCAGGTCAGAGAAACAAATCCATTGTAAGAATGTGTGATAAAGAAATCAAATTTAAAGGCACCCAACCCACAACTTGAAAGAATTCTTACCCAGCTCATCTGTCTAGCCTCTCACTCATCACTATACACATCATATCTACATCCAAAACAAGCATGACGAGGATTGGATCTCTCAACTCGATGACGATAACGAGGAAATGTTGTCGAACACTGGACAAAATTTTCAATTTGGGTACCAGAAACTAATGGGCCTATCAGGGTTACGATACTAGCCTTTTTTATTTCTCACCGGAATTCTATCGAACAACCTAATCGCATGTTATCACTCAGCACACCCACAGCACGATCTTGATGAATTAAGACCGACCTTAATCCACAAAGCTCCAAAGATAAGTTTTCTTTAATCGAAACGGATGATTTGGATCCTCGCACAGCAGAATCGAACAAGACAAAAAGCCTCTCGAAAAAACTCCAAAGGAAGAGTAGCCAAACCTCCGACCGGAGACATCCAGATAGAAACGAGGGAGACAATAAGACAGAGAGAGAGATGCTTACGCTATGATCCTAAGGAAGGTGCTATTTTGATATTCGAAGCTTCAGAGCTCCGTGCAGCGACGTCAATGGAAGACGGAGGAGTCAAGCTAGTTCTATGCTCTTCTTAGGCTTTTCCTCTCATGGATCAGATTTAGGCCCAATATAAAACCCACTAAGCGCTATGAATGGACCGGGCCCCAGAGAAGGATAAATATATTTTTTATTTAAAATAAATAATTACTATGAATACATTATTATTCTATTTAATAATAAATTGTATGCATTATATGAGTGCTATTTTTTTTAACACGACCACCACATAATCAAACAAACACAAACGCAAACACAAAGGATACAATTGTTTGCTTATTTAGGCTTTAGATTATATTTACTGAATCCACCGACTGAATATCCTAAATGCATTGAAAAATTCTGGAAAATATGATAATATTATCAGTGTATTAAAGATTCGAAAAGATTAGATAATACGAAGAAATTCACTTTGTCTTCATTTTTTTATAAACATTCTATCTTCATTTCAGAACAATAACATGTTTTTCTTCTGCGAAATCTTATATATATATATGAATCCCATGTCACGAATTCATTAGAAGTACGGTACTTTATTTCATGTTGGTACGGGCACAAACAGTTAAGATTATTACTTGGCATACTTAACGACAGTCTAGACAGCAATATGGAAACGTTTGCTGTTCCTTTTATTCGTATAAAATAAAAAGGTAAAATTCGAAATCAATTCTTGATTTATGCATATATATACCCCTCAAAACATTGTTGAGAAACGGCCCAAAATCTTAATATATTTTAATAATCAAATCATTTAGATCATATATTAATAATGAATATATAGTTTACTTCCCCTCTTGCATGTAGGGGTTCTTTTTTTAGATCAAGCGTAGTTGCAGAGTCCGTAAACGCAGAACTCGCCGACCGGACAACGGTGGTTGCACTGACCGCAGTGGCGTTTGTCATAAGCCAAGTAAACGCACTGACCGCGACAACACGTCTGCGAGAACTTGCACTTGTTCTGGCACGACCCGCAGTTCTTGTCGTCGTAGGACAAGTCCACGCACTTGTTGTTACAACACGCGGTTGCGTTCCCGCCATAATTGCTGCATATCTCTGGGTTCTTGTGGCAGTGGTCCGCAGCGTTTGGATTCCTAGGCTTCTCCACTTGGGCCAAGAATCTGCTCGGCTTCGGCTCAGGATTCAAACGGATCTTCGTTTCTTGAACGTCGTTCTTGACGTGACGATCTACAGCGGTTGTGGTCATGGTTGTGATGATTGCGATTGCGATTGCGGTTGTAACCGCTATCGCCACGAGAAACTTGATGAGTGCCATTATCGTTCGTTCGTTCTAAGCGTCAGAATGCGATCAAGCGTTCAAGATTTCCTTGAGAGAGAGAGAGAGAGAGAAGAAGGGAGAGAGATTTGGTGGGGGAGGAGGAGGGTGGACTTAGGGTTTATAGCTGAGTAGAGTTGACGCGGGAAACGTGGTAAAAAGGTGACGGAGGGTTTCAAGCGATCGATCTTCTGTTTTTGTTTATTTATCAATCAAATGAATCTATTTATTTTTCTTATTTGACAAAAAAAACGGGTTTATTTTCTACTCAAACGACGTGATGTAATCACGCGTATGCATGCATGTACTGGTTGCGGATGATACGTAGTAAATATTAGGAAAAGACGATAATGCCCTCTTCAATGAGTACAGCATTTGTACAATTTGTTATTTTACATATTATTCACTTTACCTCCTTTTTTTGGTTTGCAGTTGATTTACTTTATATGTCGTTATAGCATATACACATAATTAAACAATTAAAATCTTAAAGAATTGAACTAGTTAGTGACAAAAATAATAGCTCGATTTTTCGGATTTTTTGCCTAAACCGTTATAATGAAATGGAATTTACACCCTTATTCAAATAATTATTTGTATCAATTTCCATGTGTCATTTAAGAAAATTGTAAAATATTTTCGATAATGGGAATTTGAAACAATCCTTGTGAAAGAGTATATATATATATATAAGGTGAATTAGATGGTTAATGGTTAGTCAAAAAATAGATGGCCATTTCAAGTGGGGGCAAAATGGACATTTCAGTATCAAGACAGATACGTTGAGCATGAATCAAGCTCCTCATGGGCCGACCTGAGATAATCCAGGCGATTTGTGAGGACAAGCAAAGGCGCCTAGATATTATATTATATTATATTATATTTATATATATATATCTAAATTAAGCAAAATTGAACCTACACAGCTTCTCCATTGGGCAGCTTGGTGGGCCAAATAATATTATAAATTAAATTAACAATATATATATATATATATATATATATATATATATG